TGTTGAGAAATTCATAGCCAATATGTTTCCTTCGCTCCAAGACCTCCGGATCGGGAACGAGATGCTCTCTGAGCTTCCGTGGCGGCGAGAAGACGTCCGTCGCTGCTGGTTTTGATTTTTCGAACCGCAAAGCACGCATTTACAGTTTTTGTGGTAAGGTCTCCGTTCGATTGCGGAATCTAGACCGGAGATACAACCTTCGAACATACAACGGAATATTCCCTCGGCGGCCATCGTTGGTTTGATCCCGATTTCGAGAGATCCGGTGGAGAGAAAACAAAAAAAAGATCTGAATCTTTCGTGAATCTCAGATTTAACTATTTATGTCAGATATTTTTGTGTAATTTAACGGCGTAATTTAGGTTTAATAGGCACAACCGCCCAATTAAAACAGCGCGTTAAAAGACGCCGTTAAGTTCTTCGTTTTATATCCATTAACAGCGTTAGTTTGCCAGACTGGCGTGAGTTTAAACGTCGTCGTTTAGGGAAATGACAGTGAAACGACGCCGTTAAGGGTTTTAGCTTCATATTCATTAACGGTGTCAGTTTGTTAGACTGGCGTGAGTTTAAACGACGTCGGTGTAGTCTCTCTGAGCTGCTGCTAATCGCTTTAAAACAACGTCGTTTATGGGGAAGACACTGAACTTAACGGCGTCACTTTGTTAGACTGGCGTGAGATTAAACGACGTCGTTGTAGTTTCTCTGAGTTTATTCGATTTAAAACGACGACGTTTAGCGTTTCGCTGTGTTATATAATGGCGATTTGAAATATTATTTCGTTGGAGGTAAAAGAGAATCAGAGAGGAAGAAACTAATAGAGAGAAAGTGAAGATTTGTTGATTTTGGCGATTCGTCTCTTACGTTTTGAATTAGGGTTTTTTCGTTTCCGATGGCGTCTAGATCGGAGGGAAGATTTGGGTTTAGAGATCTGTATCAATGTTTGATTCCAGTGATCGTGGCGTCTCTAAGCTTTCTGGTTTATTCCGCTTTCTTCGTCGGCTACAGACTTCACATGCGATCATCTTTTGGTTTGTTTTTCTTTCTTTTTGAATCATTGATCGTTTCCTTTGTTTGTTGATTTCGGAATTGTGAAGATCAATTTGATGATCGGAGATTGTGGGTTTTTTCCGGCGAGGTTGAAATTGTATTCCTTTCTAAGTTTGTAATTAAACTTGATTTCGTTTTTGGGAGATCACTTTATGATCGGAGATTGTGGGTTTTTTCCGGCGAGGTCGAAAAGGGGTTTTCTTGTATTTTTCTTTAATGGGTTTTATGGCGTTAATGGCGATAATACTTCAAAGATGTTCTTATTTCTGCAAAATTCTTTCAGATAAAGACAATAATGGGAATATCTTCATCGGTAAGGTAAATTTATCGAATTTTAACATCATCGTATTGTATTGATAGATCAAGAATTTAAAGTAATGCTGTGGAGTATATGTTTTCAGGATCTTAATTGGAGAGAACGAGAAGCTTTGCAATCTGTTCGATCTCTTTTCTCAAAAGAGGTTCTTAGTGCTATCAATGCCTCCACAACAACATCGAAGTTGGATCCTTTGAGCATTGTTTCAATCAGGAAGAAACAGAATCTCTCTATGTCATGGATACTAGGAGGAAAAGTTGAGGATTATGCTTCTTCTTATAAGGTAGATTTTGAACTTTTTATCATAACATAATTCAGAGTAGATATGAACATGGATAGTATAATAAGTTACTGATTCTTGTGGGATCTTTCACTTATTATATGAAAGGGAAAAAAAGGTCAAATGGTTCCTAAGTTTGGTCATGGAACTTGGATAGGAAAAGGAGTCCAAGTGTTTTATGATAATACACCAGTGAAGTTGAACGAAAGGGTAAACTTTTCATCTTTCTTTTACACGCCTTTTCGCATACGTGTGATACGGTTGCTTTTATCTGATTGTTATGTCCTGTTTGTGTTCTGTTCAAAGACCTTGAGGCATGAGAGAAGAGTGAAACGGGCTAATGAGTTGATGAATGATGGTACTATTCAAAAGTTTGAGAAGGCAGCCCTTATACGTTCGAGATCAGTCGATGCTGCACCACTAGGAAACTACAGCATTTGGAGAAATGAATATCGAAAGGGTAAGACTTTTGAAGATATAGTACTTCTGATGCAAGATCAAATCATCATGGCACGAGTTTACACTACGATTGCGAAGATTACAAGCAATCTCGCTTTGCACGAAGAACTAGAAACACAACTAGCAAAACTAGAGTTAATGGAGGACAAATCGATCGATATTGAAAAACCACAGAGGTAAATGTCATGAGCACAATACCATATTTTCTCTTGAAATGGTTTACTCTGAATTGGTTTTAACATTTTGTTGTTGTGGCAGAGTTCTTGATACTATCAGAGATATGGGCCAAATTCTGGCTAGAGCGAACGAGGAGCTATATGAATGCAAGTTGGTTACAAATAAGCTGAGAGCAATGCTACAAACAGCTGAAGAAGAACTCGAGTACACGCAAACTTATATAACATTCTTGACTCAGCTAGCTTCAAAATCACTACCAGATGCTATCCATTGCTTGACCATGCGCTTGACTCTAGAGTATTACCTCCTTCCTGCACCAATGAGAAAATTCCCGAGAATCGAGAACTTGGAGAACCCAAATCTTTACCACTTCGCTCTCTTCTCTGATAATGTATTGGCTGCATCAGTTGCTGTCAATTCCACAGTCATGAATGCACAGGTAAATGATCAATCATTAGTAAGAGTCCAGAGAGTTTGCAAGATCTTAAACTATTGCTTTTTTTTTTTTTTTTGATAGGATTCTTCACGGCATGTTTTCCACATTGTCACTGATAAATTCAACATTGGAGCAATGAGCATGTGGTTTCTCTTAAACCCTCCTGGAGACGCGACCATCCAAGTCCAGAAGTTCGAAGATTTCGCTTGGCTCAACTCATCTTTCTCTCCAGTTTTGAGACAGCTTGAGTCAGAAGCTATGAAGAAATTCTACTTTAAGACAGAGAGATCTGAATCAGCTGAATCAGGATCAGAAAGCCTCAAGTACCGGTACCCGAAATACATGTCAATGCTGAACCACTTGAGGTTCTACATCCCGAAGATGTTCCCAAAGCTGGATAAAATCCTGTTTCTTGATGATGATGTGGTTGTTCAGAAAGAGTTAGCTCCTTTATGGTCAGTAGATCTTAAAGGGAAAGTGAATGGTGCAGTAGAAACCTGCGGTGTCACTTTCCATCGCTTTAACACTTACTTAAACTTCAGCGATCGACACATTTCCGATAATTTTGATCCGAAAGCATGCGGATGGGCTTTTGGAATGAACATTTTCGACCTGAAAGAGTGGAAGAAGAACAACATTACAGAAACTTATCACTTTTGGCAAAACCTGGTTAGTTCTTCTTGCCTTCTGATCCTATTCATCCAAAAGTGTAGATCAAGTTAACATCGATCTGTTTTTGTTGTTGCAGAACGAAAACCGGACTCTATGGAAACTTGGAACATTGCCACCTGGTCTCATGACATTCTACAAGCTGACTCTACCGCTTGAGAGCAAATGGCACTTACTTGGATTGGGTTATGATGAAGGAGTCAGTGTAACGAAAATTGAAAAATCAGCAGTTATACATTACAATGGGCACAAGAAACCATGGACAGAGCTTGGGATAAGCAAGTATCAGCAATATTGGACAAAGTACATCAATTTCGATCATCCTTACATATTTAGTTGCAGGCTCTTCGAGTGAAAATATGACACATACATGTAAGACAACCTCGTTCGTTAGGTACATACATAACACATACATGTAAGACTATAACAGAACAACAAGAGAGGGGATTGTGAGAACAGACGTAGTTGATCTCATCAAGAAGTATGCAGCAGCTGAATCTGTCAGTGTAAGCTTTAGTAAGTTGGCTAAGGCGTTTCTTGACAAACATGTTGATGCAAACAACACATGAGATTCTTGATTCTTTTTTTTTTTTTGTTCTATTGAGTTGGATTCAGCTTGTATATACCAAAGATGGTGTTCTTTCAAACTTCATATATCAAACAAAACATAGTACAATTTAAACAGTACCTGAGAAATTATACCAATGCGTATATGTTATCGATTCAAACTTCATATATACATGAAAAAGTTATCGATTTTGAAAAAAAGCAAAATTCAAAACCAAATAAAAATTTGAAAGACTAGCTTTTAATTGATTTCTTTTTGGACTTTTTTTTTAATTAATGTTTTGGTTTCCAAGAAACAAACGATTGGGCTTCTCAAAATGAATCTATAAATAAAAGCCCTAAACCTAACCTTTATCGTCACTTTGATTTGCTTCCATTCAACTTGGGTACGGCTACTAGCGAGAACGACAATGTTTTTGTGAAGAAAGCTTAGTAATTGTGGAAAACATAGTTTATGCTCTTTGCATAAGCTTACACTGACAGATCCAGCTGCTGCATACTTCTTGATGAGATCAACTGCTTCTGTTCTCACAATCCCCTCTCTTGTTGCTCTGTTATAGTCTTACATGTAATACTTCAAACCTATGGGTGCACTGATTTTCTAGGTTTGAAGTAATGATTTCTGAAATGTATATAATAGAATGAATACTTCAAAGTGATCCGTATGATTTGAAATTTTTGCCTTCATATTGATGTATACATGAAAACGATATATTAGCTAATTCAGTTCAATGCAAAGATTCAGTAGATTTTTCCTTAAAATGTCATTATTCAAAACCTTAATTTCCCGAGGATACTTAAATCTCTTCTTCGGTATCGGCTAGTTTCAAGCAAAACAACCTAAACATAAAAGAATCTCTCTCACTTCTTGTTCTTTCGGTCCTTGAGTTGTTTCTCCAGCGTTCTGATTCTCTGATGCAAAACCGAACTCCGTGAGATTCTTCTATCTGAAACACTTGAAGATGACTCGGAGGAAGGCATTGGTGGTTTTTCTTGAACAAGACTTTGGTCGTTTGGCTGCTGCGTGAAGGAAAATGGCATAGGTGAAGACGGTGATGGCTGCCTAGTAGAAGCATTGATAACAGTTGGGAGATTCAATAGCTTCCTCACATCAGGACGTCTTATTGCTGCATATGCATATACACAAACAAAAGAACGAATCAAAACTCTTTAGGATTTGCAAACCTCAGGTTTCAAAGAGCAAGCAATGTTCAGGGGACTTACTTAATCCATACACAAGAGTAAACAGGTTGGAAGTAAGCCAGTAACAGAACAATGCCTGCAGACAAAAATTATAAATTTGTGGTAAGCGAAACGTAATCTCCTTACGTTTTCAATGCTTATAAACATCAAAGAGTCAACAGAGGAAATCTTTACACTTTCAATGCCTATCAAAACTGGAATAGAGAGAAAGGCAATGATTCTTGAGAATTTCTTCATAGTTCCAGCTACTGGGTTTCCTTCCAGACCTTCCTGCATGTTTGACTACAGAAACAGTAGAGAAGTTTTCCATTTTTTTGTTACAGTTAGAAGTTAGAATCCATTATAGAACTTCGATTCTTAATTCAACTTATCAACTAAGTTAATACGAAAGCATATACAAAGCTCCTACCTCCACCATAATCAAGAAAGTCACTGCGGTGAGAAGTGGCAAGATATATGTAGTATCTGCAGTGGTGAGATCAGTAAACCAAAGAGTTCCGCCGGTTTTAAATGATGGGACTTTCTCGGCCATATTCCTGATCTGTAGACGATCATCAGTAAACACATAGAAAATAATGATCAGAGTCAACTGTAAAACATCAAACATCTCTTACCGCAAAGAAAAAGCTAATGAAAATGGGACCTTGAATAATAAGTCCTTTGAGAGGAGTAAGCGGAGTTACTCCATGCCTAAGCCAATCCAAAAAACAATAGATGCATGTCAGCAAATGAGGAACTAGTAGTACGTTTAACTTGAATAGACAAACTTAAAGAAACAATAAAAATGGACTTACTGTTTAAACAATAATTGCATTTTCCTTTGTCCTTCGGCCATGGCTTCAGGATCCGTATTCTAAAATAGATAATAAACACATGAAAAAAGTCATAACCACAACACTCTAGAAACCTAGTCAATATCAGACTAAAGGTCAAGACAAGGGGTATTTAGAAAAGCTAGATAAAAGTCTTCATCATCAACAAGTTCCTAACCAAACAGAAAACTCTAGAAAGCTAGTCAATCAAGATTCAGTTGTTCACAAAGTGGTAATAAGAAAAGCCTGACTATGAAAAATCGAGTTTATCTTATGTTAATATGAAACCAGAAGGCATTTTCAAGGCCTTGAACAAAGACAGACTCACAAATGTCACATGCACACACAAATTAAGTGAGACAAGGAGCAGGAACAACTTGTACCTTAGTGCTCATCTCTTGTCTTAACTCCTCCAGTTGTGGCCTCAGAATCTACAAGAACATTGTAGATAAATTACCCGTAAAAAAAGATGCATACCCTAACATATGAAAAAGTACACTCGAAGAACAAAAATCTAAAACTTACATTGAGTTTGTAAGTAGCCTTAAGTTGATTCAGAAGAATGGGAACCGTAACTCCACGAATGATCACTGTTGTCAAAACTATCGAAGCCCACCTACCCAAAACAAAAAGAATGAAAAGAATTTACAACGAATACAAATAAAACAGAAAACGAATAAAACGAGCTTAAAAACTGCGTATATACCAGCTCAGGCCAGTAAAGGAATGCACACCATCAATCAAATGCTGTAAAGCAGCAACAGGAAAAACAGAATCCGCAGCAGCAATAGCAACCTCGTTTACAGCAGGAACAGCTTGACTTGTCGGCATCACAGCTTGAACGATATCATCGGGAACAACAGCTTCCGTTGTCACAAAGTCGATACCATCAACTTTATCAGACCATTCAGGTGGTGTAGTACTCATATACCGACACGAAGACAATCCAAGACCCAATGGACCACTAAATGACTGATATTGCCTCTCCATAAACTTATTAGTCCCATTATACGCAAAGACTTTACGAATCACAGTATCCGAATTTCGAAAAGCCAATTTAGCTTCATCTTTATCATCACCAATCAAATGACCACAAGATGGATAAACTCGTCTCTGTAAAAGATTAACTCTCTTCGAGATAACACGCAAGCAAGCCATAACACACAGATCCTGCTAAACAAAAAAAACAAATAGAACATTGGAAACAAAACCAGTCTGATAAGTTTCCTCATTACAGAATCACATCAATCGACACTACATATCATCAATTCCTGCTTTAATCATCTCAAGTACCTGGTCCGTTTCTACACTTCCCATTTCAGGGTTTCACAGCATTTTCTCGAGAAAACAACAAAGAAAACGTAGGAGAAATGAAAATTTACCTGACTGAGAAACTCACGAAGGCTTTGAAATCACGACAGTTTCGCTGAGTCAAGTCTTAGGGCTAAGACC